AACCAGCCACGCTTCTGAGGCATCGGTGGTCGAAAACCTGAAGAAGCCTCACATCTACCCGAAGAGGCCATGTCTCGCACCTATACAACAACACAGCCCTTACTGTAGCCTGGTACACACGACCCTTAAGATCCAGTGAGATGCCTTTTTGACGCCACAAGTGACGCAAATTAGCACTTACAGGCAGGACAGGGCTCAACAAGTCCATGGATAAGCGAGGGACCTCATTGCGCCAGCACACTGCATGCACATACAAGCTAAGTTCTGTACACAATACAGGATTTTGTCTAACAGTCATCGTGCTCTATCTGCGTCACCATACATGCACAAAAGCTTTTTAAAACATCCGAAAGTAATCAATGCCCAATACGGTTCATAACAGTGAACCTCCTGAAAGAATTAAAAATCTTTGTGGGGAAAATAGTTTGGTTTTTCATAACAAAAAAGAACAGTTGGACCATCATCAAGCAGTACTGCCGATAGTTATAAACCGATTAAAAACACTTACAAATAATACCCAAGTCGGGAAATTCCTCTTCTGGCGACGAAAATGGTTCCAACTTGGCAGCCGGAGTGTCTTCACTCGCATCGAAAAACTCATCTTCATCTGCAGGTTCAGTACCGATGTCCTCCATATCCTCTTCTTTCTTCACTACGTCTTGTGTGTCCTGGAATTCCGAGTCACTTGGGGAAGAGGAAGTACGTGCTGGGAGGGAGAAGCAAACTATCAGTCAGGAATGGAAAAATTTTGCGTCTAACTTGAAGATCACTAATGATAAAAGATAAATGCAGTGGCAATGGCTTTCCGCACGAACATCATTCCAGACAAGAAGCGTTTTTTACCACTGCTCACTCCTGTCATCGGGGCGCCTACCAACGAAGCAAGAAGGCGCCGAAAAGGCGGCTGGTAGACTCCGACTTTCTGGGAAGTAAAGCTTTCTGTGGCAAAATACATACATCTGCAAAGTAAGTTGGTAGCAACGGAAGATTCGGTTGAATCGCTCGTTTATGCTGTTCTCCAACTGAATGTGCTGCGCAAAGCTGCCTCATGTTTTGCCTGGGACGATATTCAAGAAGTATACTTCCTCGACATAAGTCTCTCAGTAAAGAGAAATTCCGTTGAGTCTCCCACTAAAACCAAAGCGATTTTCAAACTGTGTACGGTTCGACCAGCAAATGGGATATGAGGTTGATGGAAGCTAAGGGGACTACGTCTAAGTGATGAGCGAAACCAGTAGCCGGCTATCGAAGATTATCCGGTAACTTTGTGAATAGCGCTATGTAGAGAAGACACAACCCATCAATCCACGGAAAATTAATCAGCTCGAGAAAGAATGTCGATCTGTTCCCAAGGTGGACATGCGTCCCCTATTTGCAAGACATCCCCCCTCCGAAGCAAGGTTGTAGGTAAAAGGCTGGTACGGTTAGTGTATCCTTGCAGTGATGGTTGTACCGCGAGATATCAAGTCACTCTAAAAGAACTTGAAAAAAAAACATTGCAGGGGCTGACTGCTAGCAGCCAGTTCACAGTGAGGAAGTGTTAGACCAACTGTTGCATGATGAATCCGGTGCTCTGACATGGTAAACAAAGCAAACGGACAAACAATGTATACCTGCCCACTACCTTCAGACGCGAAGGCTCCTAGTAAGCAAATCATTAAAGGAAAGGCAAAGTGAAGGTGATTACCATCAAACCGGATGCCAGAAGATGGAGCCGAGTTTTAGGTCAGATCACCAGGCAGAAGCGTTCATATAAAAGGGGGGGTCGAAGCGTCTCAACACCATCGGTCTGCTAAGCATTCTGAAGTTCAAGCCCATCAAATGAATAAACGACAAACACTGTTCTCTATTAGCCCAGATGAAACAGTTGATTGTCAAATTGTCCTGAGCCGCACTCTCTAGCTGCAAAAGCTTAGACAGCAAGCGATATGACGTATATAGTACGGTTTACGTACGGTTTACTTTGGTTCATCACCAGTGATGAATCAAAGTTCGCCTGAATGAACAAACCTCTATAGACTCACGAAAACTCACCGGTGTCTACTCAAAACGCACCGACAGAATCGTCTCGTGTCGAGACGGAACAAACGACGAGGCTCGGTGATCAAACCAATGGTCACAGTGGTTTCTGTTACGTGTTCCAGTGGGACGCATCACCCGGCTAACATGACACCCAAGCAATGGTCATCAGATTGGTGGGACCGATAAACAACACATAAACTCAGCAGCCCACACGTTGATGATACAAGGTTGCGTTTAACCAAATAGACAACGCAGATAAGAAACCTACAACCGCAGTTGTAGCCATTGGTCTAAACGCATTCGGATGCAACTGAATTTTTATCGAGATATCCTCCTGAGGATGAAGTTAGTCGATGCTGATAAGTCTAAGCACATTGAACAGCTGAGGTCAACAGCAGAGCGTATCTTTGAAAGGACTTACAAAGGACATAGGTCATCATCTTTCAGACACGACTAAAGTCACGTGATCCGGTGTTAAATGGATTCCAATATAAAGTCCCAGACACACCATAAGGTGAGTAGGATGAATTCAGGTGCATGGTCAAATTTCAAATGAAACTCCAAAACCTCCGGAATATCGACGAAATACGAAAAAACTCCTCAGAAAGGAAAATTTACAAGTCAACTAGACTTTACATCTAAAAAACCGGAACTCGAGGATGCAGTGAACACCAGAGCAAGTGACGTGAGCTGTGTAGTCGGAAGATGGTAGCATCCAATACCAGCTAAGCTCAGCTTAATCAAGTCGCTGACCACCCACCGTTGGTCGGATGGTATAGTGCCCAAATACCAACCCAAAAGCCGCGGGTGCGAATCTTTCCAAAGATTCACGGAATTCGTTCGTTCGTTCAGCCATAACACCCTTTCGGTGCCTAGCTGCCGTGCCATCCGAAGGAAGCACGAGGGTTAGGGTACCGCCAGGTTGCCCAAGCCTAGACAGGGGAAGTCGGGAGGCAAAGATCGGGTTCGAACCGCGGCGGTCCAGTAAATTCCACTCTAGCCACTTGAGCCATCTCGCTCCCAGATTCACATAATGCGCACTGATGACGATTCATAACAAGGATGAAACATTGACTTCTTTTACATTTGGAAATACATATCCACTGCGTGTGAAGTAGCTACCTGAGAAATGGCGCCCGGTAAATTACGCTTCAAAGTCCGCAACACGCGTGTATTCCAGTCGCACAGGATAACGCTAACCAAGGCCCAGTCATTCGCGCGACCTTCATAAGCCAAGAAAGTCACTAAGCGATGGTCACTGTGTCTTCAACCAAATATGGTACCCTCGCTCTGGCACGCAAGGAAACTACACACTATCTTCGAGTGTGAACCCTATTGGCTCCAATACCGGTTCCCCGTCCACTCTAACAACGCCTTCCTCTGCCTCCGGTTCGGGCCTAACAGTTAGTCGGTTGTCAAGCTAGATTTGATTTGGATTGGTATAACTGAAATTTAAGGCTAGGCTACGTGAAGGGCGAAATTTTCTGAAACGACTTACACGGCTATAGCGCGCAATGATAATAGGCTGAACACCCAGTAATTACGGGGTTGCCGATCACAAAGGTCGCTTTTTCAGAAATAGTTCTCCTCTGGATCTCAGTGTCCCTTTCTGGCTTCTAGAGTGAAAATACTGTGGGGATCAATCGTAACAATCTGCATAAAGAGATTCGACGATTACGACACAAGTCCGTGAAGTCAGAGCAGTCATATGTCGCAGTTACACAAGACCATTAGTAGTGAATCATCATCATCATCATCATCATCATCATCATCATCATTGTTAGCTGTAAGAACCGCGTACTC